TTTTACAAGTTGCTCTAGCTTTTGTAGTTGGCATTTAAGCACTTCTCTTGCATTCATTTATTGCTATTGTTGTTGGATGTTTATAATGTCTCGTTGTGGTAGCCAATAAGGCAATTAAAATATGGCATAGGGTATGAGTTAAAAAAAACTTTTTAAATGACTTTAATAGCATCGACATTAGACATGAGATATTTTGTTCACCTCTGACCTCTTTGTTTATACTGATTTTTGTGTTGCTGACAGACAAACTTAAACATATAGCTACAAGTATTTAATCAATGTTAATTTTTAGCTTTTTTTCTATTTTCATTCGTTATAAATAAGTAAATACGTAAGTATACTGACATGAATTCATGAATCATTCACATGAATATCTTACGAACATCAGATTTAGCTGTTGTTTTTCTCTCTCCTTTTTGTAGTTTATTGCTCGTTCACTGCCATTATTAATATTACTATAGTAGAGTAGGACTATATCGTGAAAACTAATGTGTGATTTATGTCGAGAGAGGTGGACAATTTTTGTAAATGTAGATTGATTAAGGGAGCACTGAACATTAAATATTTAATGTTTTTATTTCTTACTTATGGTAATAGGGACTGGTTCAGCTGGTTTTTAACTTATTAAAGTTGTTTGTAATGAAGGAATTGAATTGACAATTTAATCAATCAGTTCTTTGTGTTCTACTTTAGCTAAACAGCAATGAAATTTGTCTAATAATTAAATTAATGTTGTTCAGTGTTTGTAATCAAAACAAGGGGCAAACAACTTTCATTTTTTGAATAATTCGAATTCCAATTGTCCGTTGCATTTGGAATTGTTTGAATTCTTCAAAAAAAAAGTTTCCGCATTGATTTATGTGCCTTTAAATAATAATTAATATTCCATCATGTCGTTTGACATTTCACATTTTTTTTCCCTCATCATTGATCCTTGAAAATGTCCCTAGATTGCCAGTAGAAAAATTCTCAATATAAAACGTGTTAATACAGATAAGGGTCGGATGATAAGGAATTGATTGATTGATAATTGTGGACTTTCTGACCTGCTGTGCTATTATTTTATGGATGAAATATTAAAGCAAAGATTTATTATCAGAGAATGGAAAAAAAGAATATTTTATATTAAAATATGATAAATTTATTCGTTTGTCATTCGAAATGAAATTATCGATCCATGAAATTTTTCCGATTTGCATATACGACTATGTTAATGTCAGTAGCTCTCGAGATTTTAAGTTTATGTTATAAAAAAACATCTGAATTCAAATGAAATAAATCAAATATTCAAATCCAGACTAGAGATGGAGGATTTAAATTTTTTTTATGTCACGTTCCTCAAATCAGACAAAACAAAGTTAATCCATACAAATAAAAATTAAATGAAAAATTACTGAATTTCCATAACAGCACAAAAAGTCTGTTAAACATTTTAGAATCTATTTTTAATTAGAACATAACTCATAAATTTTTATAACACTATAATTCATCACATAATTTTTTATAGTTCAGAAACACTTTAGTAATCATATCAGTTTTGGTGGATTATATAATTTTCTGTCTTTGTTCGTTTCTATTTAGACTATCTTAATAATTTTGTCATTTTCAAGAGTGATTAAAAGAATATTTTAATAAAATTAGCTTTTAACGGTTTTTTGGAATTTGAATTTATATAATTTGCAGCCAACTTCACTTATGTTAAACAAATTCAGTGAATATTCCGAAATATCAATCAAAGCTGAGTAATTATCATCTTATTCATGCATGAAAGGCAGCAAGTATCGATTTACCCAATTAACATTAAAAATAAGCCAAGAAATTTCAAAAACCAAAAATATTCCGCAAATCATGTAAATTCATGTCAAAATTGTCTCATTTTAAATCTTCAAACATGACGAGACAAATCACTTGAATACAGAATCTTTTTTCGTCTCTATTTCCCTTTCTAATCGTAAGATCATGACTCACAGACTCGACAAAAATGTTCAGTCCTATACACAGAAGAGGAAGAAGAAGAAAAAAACTGATGCATAAACAAATGTTTTATGTTCTCATTAATTATAGATTTTCTTCTTTCAAAATGAACATAAAAATGAAAAAAGATTTTTCATCTCATCAACAACGCAATATGATGTATGTACACAAGTACGAAGGCAATGTTTATTTATCTTATTAGAGGATATAAAAGCAAACAAAAAAAAATCCAAAAATCAAATAAAGATAAAGCTGGGTGAGTGCCGGGAAGTAGAACAGAAATTTATTTTATTACTTACTGGTTTACTGTTTAATTTTCAACATTTTCTTTCACGTTAATAGAGAAATTTTTTATGTCTGATCTGATTTAATGTTTAAAACTCAAAGAAATAGTCAAATTTAATTTCATAAACGTTTCACCCAATTTGTATTTGCCTCAACGATCAGATTTCGAAGGGTAAATCAATTTTGCACAATTTTTCAATTGAAAACTAATTGATTGATTGCTGTGCCATTATAAAAATATTGAAATAGAGACTAGAGAATGAGAATTAATGTTAGATAGAGCGAGACTTTTGTATCCTTGAATTATTATTGGATGCATTGTTGGATATAATACACAATAAGCAGCAGCAGCAGTAGCGATCTTAGGAAGTACATAAATTTATTTCTTATTTCGCTTACTCATTCGATTATATTGCGGGAGTAAAAGAGAGAGATACAAGCACATATAGATGCTTCATTTTGGATATTTCCACTGCATTAAGCTCATGTTATTTAATCCACGTTCCTAAATTATGTTTATCTCATAGAGAAATGCAATAAAAATGTCCTTAAAAATCACTCGAGCATGATTCTTTTATGGATCTTTCAACAGTCCGGAATTGAAATTCTACGAATTAAAGAAGTATATTCATGATGATGATACATAAAGGGGGATATACTTTATATATGTATAAGGAGGAGGGTGACAGTCGCAGATATATCATTTCTCACACTTTGTATCATTTAATGTTCCATATAAAAACTTAATAATGATTCACTGCTTAAGTTCCTCGATAGTCTTCTTATTTTCTCCCATTTTCCATTCTCTGCTTTTGTCTCATTTTTTTTCTGCAGCTATAAAATTTATGATCCCTGTGTGTTATATGTTTTAATTTCAATTTTCAAACTCTTTACTTTATACTTCTTTTTATTTCGCTCTCTTTCATTTCGGTTCTTAATAGCAATGTTTTTATTTTATTTCACTCTCTTCTTTTCCTTTTAAAAAAAATGTTGCACCATCAACAGCAATTTTTTTATTCTGTCTTCTTTTACCTCTTCTTTCGTTTCTTTTACTTTTTATATTCTTCCATCCAACATTCTTCTTGTTTTTTCAAGTTCTTTTCCATTCTGTATATCTTTTTTATTATTATTATTTTTTTTAAAGAAAGGCATACACAGCACAAAACTACATATATAATCATAATATAATCCATCGATATACAAGGAATGAGAATAAAAAAAAGTGAAATAAATGTAAGACGTATGTATGTGAGCATGAAATGAATGTATAATAATTTCTATTTGTTGTTAAAATAATAGAGTCTGGTTGGATGAATTAGGAATTTTTTTTATTCATAGAAAAATTGTGAAGATAGAATAGAGGAAGTTGGATGTGCAATGGCTGATAGAAATTGAATGAACTTTACAAAGGTGTTGAAAAAAGTTTATGAATTTTGAGAGCAATAAGATTTGAAATTGATGTTTTCAGAAGGCAAATTTGATTCTAAAGCTATGAACTCAACATAAATTGATGAAATCGGTAAGGAAATTGCTGTATTTATTGAAATATCAAAAGATTCAATGACAAAATCACAATTTTCTATGAAAAACATTTAAATTGTTTTGAAATTCATCAAAATTGTAAGAGAAATCATAATTCTATTTTGAAATCATTAAACTTTGTAAACAAACACTGTTATTGACAGAATCGCTAACTATTTGAATAGAAAAACTGGTTTATTTGATCTCAAAACATAAGAATTGAGACAAAAACTGATAAATCAAATTGATTTGAAGTTATTTTGATGCAAAGTAAGTTTCTAATATTTTAGATTTATGTTTTTTAAACTTTTAATCTTTTATGTTCAATATTGTAGATTCTTTAATTCATAACTATGCAAATTAGAATTAGCTTTATAAATTTTATTTTAGAATACAATTTTTAATGAATTTAAACTTTAAAGACTCCAAGCTTAGCCAATTTGCATTGAAATTTCTACAATTTTAAGTTTAAAACCTTCTTTAACTCTTCAAACCAATCAAATCATTGGAATCAATTCATTAAAAATCTCCGAAGATTCAAACATTTCAAAGAATTTTAAATTGAACAATTTGCCAATTTCAAAATCAATAAAATTAAATAAATCACAAAAAAACTATCACAATTTAAGAACAAAAACACAACTTAATTGGGTTCAATTCAAAATCATTTTGAGATTGTCAACCTAGTTAACGTTAAATTGACGCAAATCTGACGAAACCAATGATTTAACAGAAAATAAGGTCGTAAATTTTACGAGTGCCACACACACACAGGTCAGACTCATTTCCAAATATTTTTGTTGCAATAAACCCAAGCATATCCCAAAAAAAAAAAAAATCTACCTGCACAAATCCGTTTAACAAATAAATGTAAAACAATAAGACTTTCAGTATAATCCAAAGTCGTTAGATCAGAATTCAGTCACTAGAAATAAGCACATTATGAACATCTCGAATCCTATCATAATATTTTTCTAAATTCTCATTAAAATCGTGAATAAAACCGTAAAACATGTGTTTAACTGGCGAAAAAGAATCGCATTTTGTGACCAAACCCAATAGAAAGGCAGAAGAGAACGAAGAAAAGTTATGAGGCAGCAGTAGAGAGCTGCAAGAAGCAGCAAGATATATAAAATGAATAAATGTATATTTTATATGTATTTATGTATATATTATTCGAACAAGGCACAATAATAAAGGTGAAATGTAGAGAAACGTACCGAAAAGTTGTTAACGAGGGTGTAGGCACGGTAGTTATACTCGGCACATAAACATTATCTATGATACTCCGTTTAGTTGTTGTTGTTGATGTTGGATATGCGACTTTCTTGAAAATCTCACCCAACTCTTCTAAATCCAATCCATCGCCCGTGGATGATGCGGAATCCACAAGTGCATTTGCAGCACAATTGCTTATACTAATTACACTTAATAATAAATATATCACTATGTACACCTTATTATTTACAATTGCATTATTTTTATCAGATTTATTTTTTCTTAATACATTTCTATATGCGGATCTGCTTGACGTTGATGTCGTTTTATGTGATTCTAGTAGGTGTGATAATTTTATATGATTTTTTCTTAAATTCACTAGCAATTGTGTGCTGGACGATGACACAAATATTAGGAAGGATTTGAGACATGATTTGATACAAGATGATGAGAACATTATCAAAATTAAATTTGATATTTGTTGTTGAAAATTTTCTACTTTTTCAGCTTGACGTGCTGTAGAGTTGAAAATTCAAATTGAATTTTCTTTACTTTTTAATTTCACTTTTTTATCTAAATTATTATTTTTTTAATATTTGTGAAACTTTAACTTTTTCCTCATTTCTATTGATTTTTCACACAGTTTTTCACACAACTTTTATTTTTCTTCTTTTTTTCAATAAAACTTTTCACATTTTTCATTTATTAAAAAAAATTATATTCCTTTCTCAACTGGATATTTATTCTTTTTTTTTGTTGGATATAAAAAAATCTCCTTTATTCCTTCATTTCTTTTGTGTATTAAAATTCTTGGTTGAGAATTTTTTTTTATATTTTTTTGAATTTACAATTTACGATTTCATTTTATTTCTCTTATACTCATATATATATTTTTTTGGTGTATACATATATATGATGAAGAATATATAGGAGGAGAGGAATTGAAGTAAAAAAAAAATATGGTGGACTTGCACTGAAAATTTTCTTTTGCAATTTTATACTTCAAAAATTGATTTTAACACATAAAATCCATTTGTAATCCATGTTTGTGGTGCTTATCTCGCGATTTATTGCATTTTTTGCAATTAATTTACGTTTTTTATCACAAAATGTAATTAATCCAAATTGGAAAATTTCAACAAGACGTTCAGTGAGTTTCTATGATTCGCGTTCACTGAAGACTTTTTATCGACTTCAGAGGGCGCACGTGGTTGCTTTTTTCATCGATTCTGTTTGTGTTGTTGTCTTTGTCGTGTGCGAGCTATAAGTTCTTAATTCTTATGGAATATCCACAGATTTGTGTCTATTTAGTGATATTTCATAAATTTTTTGAGGATTTCAAGCTTAATTCACCAACTTTCAGTAAAAAAACACATTTTTTATTGAATTTTTCAATAATTTCTGCACACCGACACTAGCGACACCTGCTGTAATTTTTCAAAATCCATCCACACTGAACGCACTTCTTTCACTCCGTTGTTGCTGCTTATAATGTTCTCAACGAAACAAATGAAACTGTGAAGACATGAAAATAAAGTTGTATGTATACATAGCACATAGTACAACATCGAGGGCCTTGAGTTTTTGTTAAAAGAAAAGAAAAAAAAAATAATTATTACTATAATGGTGTTGTTAATACACATCCAATAACAGCACCATGTTCTCTCTCTCCTTTATATTATGTTACTTATGATTATTATGCTCCACAAAAAAATATTTAAAAAAAATTCTAATTCGACCCGCAACATAAATATTTTTTTTTCGTCTCTTAAAAAGTCATTCTCACAATCGTATGTCATCGATTAAAAACAATAATAACATCATATATACAAATCCATCTCTCACATCGGAAAGTATTTCTTTTTTTTGTGTGTCGGTGTCGGTTTTTAATAAAAAAAAACAGTAAAAGCGGCAGCAGCAGGAGAACACAAAGGAAAGAGAATTGCACATTCTGGCGCATGTGTCATTAATTGCACAGGCACAACATAAAGAATCGCATGCGATACACAATCTGTGCATTAAAGTACGGCAGCGATGCATGGAGTTGCAATGGAAAGGATGAAAATAATTTTTATATTCATTTTTTTTTTTAAAAAAATGAGTGCATGAAATTGAAACACAACAAAAAAAATTGTTTTTTTTTTCTTTATTCTGAAGGTGTGTTTCATTATGAATTCATGTAGTAATTAGACGAGATGCATTGATTCATGCATATTCACAATAAATCTTTACTGTTCACTGCTTCATCTATTTTTTTTTTGGTTTTTGAATAAATTATTATGAATAGTTGGGGGAACTGAAGGCTCGGTTGATATTTATAGGGACTTTTTCAGTGGCTTATTTAAGATTCTTTAGTTTTGACAATCAATTGGATGATTTAGAAGGTTTATTTTAAGATCAGAATTTTAACAGACTTAATGAAGGCTATTTAAAACTGCCAAGTTTATTTGTGACAAAAAGGATGACTTTGAGGATGAATTGATTGCATTGAGGATTTGACTGTAAGTTCTCAAGTTCGAAACCTAATTGCAACAACTTGATTATTTGATAATTTGTTTCAATTGATTCACTGCGATTTGTTGGACATTGATTAAGCAGTTGAATATGTATCTGTGTTGGATAAAACAGCTTCTTCTGCTAATGCTGATCAGACTAATGACCACATCAAAATTTGGACTTTTAACGACGTTCTTCCATCTAATAGTAAGATGCCATTCATTCAATTGATTTTTGTATGTAGGACTGTAGGAGATCAAGCCATAATTGGGCATTTGGGCAACGTTGGATTAAGGAACGGGTCAGGAACTTGAAGTGTAGCAGGAGAAATAGGAACGAGAGCTACAAGATTACCTTATAATGGAATATTGTCAGAACGGACCTGAAAAGTATCACGTCACGACTACAGAAGATTGAAACGAGAGCCTTAGTTTATTTTAAACCTAGATTTGAAGATTAGCAGTTTGATCCTACATAATACTAATTTATATGTATACAAATACAAAAGTGTAAAATGTGAATTATTACCGGACAGTATATTCGTCAATAAATGCAATAAAGTGCAATTAAAAATGAAAAAAAAGGGAAATTTCTAGCTTTATAGAATTAAAGTATGCCACAATCCTGGTTACTCGTCCTATGCCACGCCACTGTGTTATTGTATCAACATAGGATCTTCAGAATATCTTGTCACCAAACCAACAGCACACTTAATATGGTTAACGTCACTGCTTGAACATTTTTATAATCATTCGGTGATGAAGACATGAGATGATGCCTATGTAGAAGAAGAAGAAGACATGGAAGCCACCAACAACTTCAAAATTAGTTCCGAATAGCTCAGATAGCTTCCATACCACACAAAATTTCTACATTCACTCGTTCATAAAGGATGAAAAAAATATCGGAAATTCAAGGATAATGAGTAGGAAATAGTCGATCAAACGATAATAAAAATAATGAAAAAAGTAGGCTGCTGGTTTCAAAAGTAGGAATAGATTGCTACTCAGAAATTTGATAAGCTGCAGAAAAAAATCCTAGAGTGTTGCTTCCTAAATATAGTAAAGTGCTGTACATTTTGTTAACACTTTGAGTGCTCTCCATATAATTTTGTGTTGAGTCTTATGAAGCCAAATCACTTAGCAATGCACACAAGCTTTTATTCTGAAGTATTCATCGAAAAATTCTCACATACATTGTTTGTTACAATTTTTTTTTATCTCGCATCTAAACAGCTTCACTTTACTGGATCGTGCTATTTTTAAAACCAACTCTTGCCAATCTTGAAAATTCTTAGAATATTAAGCATAATACTTCAACAATAAACAAAGGTAGGAGTTAACAAAAAAAAAAAAATATACCTGAAGAATGTTTCTTTTCAAGAATCCCTAGTATGAATATATTTCAGGGTAAATAGCAAATATGAAAATATTTGTAGAACTTTACAAAAAAGAAATAAAAAGAAAAAAAAGAGAATAAAACACAGCAACAAAGGAAATGTGCATTCATATAGACACATCAATATTGATGACTGGATAATTATTTACACGAATGTCTATCTCTTTGCATTTATTCATTCACAATGAGATATTGAAACAAAAAGCGATAATCTGAATAAGTGGTGGACATTGACAAGGTGTGGGGACCAACAGACAATGTTTGTTTTAGCTTTGAGATGGTTTTCTTGAAGTTTGTTTAATATTTGTGCATTATTTTCAGTGAAATTTGAATTTTTAAATCAATTTGGCAACGTTGCTTTAAATTTGGGTTTTTGTGGTGAGTTTGTTCAATTTTGAGAAGAGTTTAGTCAGTTTAGTGGTGAGTTTGATGAGTTAAGTAAGTTTTGTGGTGAATTTGATGAGTTGAGTAAATTTTATGATGAGTTTTGTGAATTAAGTAAGTTTTGTGGTGAGTTTGGTGAATTTGCTAAGTTTTGTGGTGAGTTTGGTGAACTTGGTAAGTTTTGAGGTGAGTTTGGTGAATTTGGTAAGTTTTGAGGTGAGTTTGATGTATTATCAGTTTTCTTGTGAATTTGGTGAGTTGGGTAAGTTTTGTGGTGAATTTGGTGAGTTGAGTAATTTTTGACGAGAGTTTGGTGAATTTGGTAAGTTTGAGGTAAGTTTGATGTGTTTTATCAGTTTTCTTGTGAGTTTGATGAGTTCAGCATCCAAAATCCCACAATTAGCATTCCCTTGTCCTACATTCATCCTCGTAAAATGATATTTTGATTTTTTTTTGTGGTGATAAGGTCTTGAGCTGACTTATATTAATCTATTAATAATGATGCGCATTAGATCACAAAACTAATGGCATTTTAATGATTTATTTGCATTCCATTTTTGTAGCGAAGGAAAAAGAAGCAAACCAAAGACAAAAAAAAAATCATTTGATAATTCTCAATTAAAAAAGGATTATTGACATTTGAATATGAAAACGTGTGAAGCTTTTGAGAAATGAAAAATAGGTAAACGATCAAATTATCGATTAATGTTTGGAGAGTGAGAAAGAAACTCTCTTTATGGCATTAATTTTTGTGTTTCCATTTGTGTTTATTAAATCACACATTTTTACCATATAAAATATTGAATGAGCATTAAATTTTTCATGGTTTAAAAAGAGCTTAAATTAAAGTAATTTATGTAAAAAATGTTAAAATAATTATCTTTATTGATGCTTTTGGATGCCTTTCGATTTTTTTTACCACGGTAGTAATTTATACAGATATTTTTAGCATAAAATTTTTAAAAGACTGTGGCTAATTTTATGCTAGAAGTTTGGGCGTGAAATGTTGTAAAATGCAAAAGTTGCGGCTAAGATTAGATATTTAAAATATGTTAATTTATTTTTGGGATTTTTTTTGTTACGTTAGTTTGTGATAAATTCTTTTCAAGTCTCAATTAATGAGTCTTCGGAATGTTTTCAAATTTTCAAATTTTAAAATTTTTTAGAATTTGAATCTGAAATTCGTTTATATTTTTATAAGATCGTTAAAGTTATTAATTCGTTAAAATTTGAATGTAATAAGTTCGTAAAATTCGAA